CATGCCTGATATATAACGCCTAACTTGCCATATGTTACAACGGAGATTCTTCAGCTAATGTATGGATACCTACAAGTTTGGCTACAGTAGACATATGTTAGATGTGACACCTATACAATAGTGACTGAAGTTTCGATTGCGGCAACAAATTATTGGCAACAAAAAACATTTTCAGCCAAACCATAATTGGCGGGCGGCAGCAAAATTCTTTCTTCTCCATGGCAAAGTCGCTGCCCAGGCAACACAACTAAAATCGGGCCATAAGAGGTCCTTAAGACGTCATACCTCTTGTCCATAATCTTTAAGACGTAAGCAACAAGCAAATTGACCACGGTCGTTTATAGGGGGAATGATCGACCGTGGTTGGTCAATCTGCTTACGGCTTACGTCTTAAAATAAGATTGTAGAAAAGGGCTTAGCCTCGGTCTACAATCTTGTTTTAAGACGCAGTAAGCAACCTGACCGACCATAGTCGATTATTTATTTAACAAACGATTGATCAATTTACTTACTGCTTACGTCTTAAAGGGCAAGATTGTCGGCTAAAGAAAAAGATATCTTAAAGACCTCTTATGACCCGATTTCAGACGTTGTCTGGGTGAGATCTGCATCCGCGTCGTCAGCCCCTAAACGGGACGAGAGGTTTCAACCGCATGTCACCTCTCCGGCTCGTTGAACCTTCCTGACCATTTTAGAGAGGGCAAAAGGACGCGCGAGAGGAACCTCTAAGACGAGTGGCAACGTTTTCTTGCGCACCCGCCGAACGAGTTCGAGACAGACGACGGGCGATGTGGCGCGTTCGCGGAGGAAAGAAAGAATCTCGTAACGGGATAAACGGGCGATCGAGCATCGTCGTAGTACAGTAGTACATTCCGATACGTAACGGCGAGGAACGCATATCGCGTCCTGGACGATCAAGTACGCGCATTGTGAATAGGCAACGACGACGGTTATATAAAATTTCTCGGAAGCGAGCACGCGCTGAGCGTGCATACACTTTTTGAGAAAACGTCGAGGAGGGGGGCGGCCGGTGTACTCTCTTGTGCGTGGAATTACTGTTCGCGGAAGAAATTTCTTTGATCGCGCGTTCGCGAGAACCGTAACAGATTTCCTGCGTAGAGAGGTTGCTCGGTCGGCTCTCTTCGCGCGCTCTTTGCAAATTAGATCGCGGGCTCGGATTAAAGTCCGAGCAAAGAGCTTCCGCACGATGCCAGTTTTTAGGGACATCCAGCATTTTATCCCGGCCGGTAACGTTAATCTCCGCGCGGGCAAGTTCTTTCCCCAGCGAGCGCGGAATAAACGCGGATCCACAGGTTGAGAGTCCACGCGGAACGCCGATTCCCCTGTTTGGATTCCAATTATTCGGCCGGCGTCTCCCGAAACTCTCGATTCTCCGTGAATCCTGACCCCGGGCCTCGCGCTCTTCCCTTCCTTCCTTCCTTCTTTCCTTCCTTCCTTCCTTCCTTCCTTCCTTCTTTTTTTCCTCTCCTCTTTCCCTCCCTCTTTCCCTGCATAGATAATAACCACGAAAAAGGAAGCAAAACGCGGATGAATCGACTAAAAAGTCTTCACCTTCCACCCCCATGATTCACCAGCCACCATTTCCTGCTCGGAGAGTACCTGCCTGTAATCATTATTATTCGCGGTCAAATAGCCGGTGGCTCTTTTTCTCTCTTGCGCCACTGATCGATCTCCCTAACTTGAAAATGCTGAGGTAATCAGTATCACGATTATCTCGGCGCGACAGAGATATCTGGCCCCACACAACACGTGTGTTTCAGAGACGTTAAAGGACGTTTTATTACCCGCAAGACACTTTTACAACGTCTTGAGACGTCTTCATGTTCTCTGAGAAGTATATAGAGATTAAAAAAATTATCCCCTTGCGACGAATCTCGATTATGATGTGAAGTAAAACGTCAAGCTAAGCTTGAAGAGAAAAAGTTAATTTTTTCTATCTATTTTTTCTGCCAAGCGATGATTACAAGTTACATTTTTGAATATATCGATTTTATGGTATCCTTCGTGAATTATAATTAATAATTCTAATAATTAACAATTGGTGCGAAATACTAGATGAAATAATGCAGGTGGCACTTCCTTTAGTTCCGAGGAGGCAAGGATGATAAGGATGATAGAAATGCAAAGTATCGACCGAGGTTGCGATTCGTAAAGCCAAGCTGCTGCTCCGTCACCTTCGCAGGTAGTTGGTAGACGAAAGCATCGAGAGAAAAGGACTCGGATACTGGCACGAGAGCAAGAGAGACGGGAGAAGAGAGAAAGGTGTACTCAGTCAAGGAGGAGGAACAAAGTAAAGAGACGTGGAAGTGGCAGGACGAAGAAGAAGAGAGTAAAGGCCCCGGGCGAGGTCACCCACCGCCCCCGCCCCCCTCACTCCCCCACACACCCTGATTATCCGCCGCCGGGGGCGGGACGCTCTGTAATGAGCATCGAAGAGGTGCTCAACCTCCGACTGCTGAAATTTTCCTCGCTATTATCAACGGGAACTCAAAAGTCAAAAATTCTCCTTGTGCTGATCAGTAGAGAAAATCATGGTTACAAGCGCTAAAAACGATCAGCAGAACGAGAAAATGTATTTGTATTACGAGGTATTTTAATCCATGTAATTTTGTTGTTACCTGAAGAGTTTATCACGAAATTGTCGACCTTATTTCTTGGCAATGTGTGCGTACAAACTATATTCTACATTCATTTTGAAATATCTCTACTGAATAATTGGAGTTTCATTCATATACATAATTCTTCGATAGTCTATGTGTTAATATAAAAAAAAATAATAATAACAACATTATTAGTCCCAAAAACAAATAAATAATTATAATATAAAAATGAGAATAAGAATAAAATTAGAATAGAGGAGCGACAGGCGAGGTAAAGAAGATCAACACGGTTGATACCGACTGCCTTACCCGCGAATACCTAACTGATTACAAATAAATGAGGAAGTAACGAGAAAAATAGAAAGTAGCAATCGATACTTAACACGAATCGTGAGTGAGTCGACAGTTTCTACGCATTCTCATGGGCAGGTTAGTTCGCAACATACGTCGGAGGCTGACGTCGCTGACAAGGTCGATCGGGATTAGGACAGAACAGCAGGAAGCGGCAGAAGGTGGCGGCATAGTAAGCGTTTGAATGGAGGAGCACGGCGTCGTCGGTTGTCTACGAAGACACCCGGATGATCGAACGATGTTATTTTAAGTTTTCCATAGGGGCCCTCGGCTCTCTCCCGCCTCGCCCTAATCGGCTGTCAGCCACCCCCGCGTGGCGGCCCACCCCTGCAACGCTTAATACACGCGCGCGCGCGCGCGCGCGATTTCACCGATCGGGAGAGGAGCAGCCTGACACGACCCCCCACGGACAAGATTCGCCCTTTTTTCTCCTACATCGAGATTCGCGGCGAGGATTCATGCCCCTCGAGGGGTCAGATTCAAAACGCTTTACACTCTCATAACCGAGACCTGTTGATTCGACAACCCCCGAAAATCTCAACTACCTCGAGCCCGCTGGCGAAACGCGAATTACAAGAGTCCTTCGACGCATGTTCGTTTCTAAAGGTGCTCTATTGACGTGAACGATAGTTTTTTCACTTACGGACAATAGGACTCCTTACTGAAAAAGAAAAGAGAGTCGCTGAAACAACGAATTACCAACAACGATTGGGCAACGATATTTCACGGTCAAATAATAAATGTATAAAAAATCATCGAGTGAAGGAAATCTTTCACTAATGTTCCCGCTAAATACGAACAAGCCATTCCACCAGCTAGCATTAGCAACGCAACACCTAGTCGACTACCGAGACTCGGTGTTCTCAAACACAGGATAAACCGTGAAGATGGAGTCGCTTCAGGAAAGTTAGAATGCCCTCGCAGGGCTGCGCGGCTCGTTTGATGGCTCTCCTCTTTCTCCGTCCTGGACCATCCACGTGTTTCCACCGGCTGGCCGTTTACACCATCAGGTTTGGTGGCACATATTATACACCCGAGGAAGGAAGCAGAAGAAGAGGAGAAGACCGAATGACGAAGATAGACGGAGTCAAAGGCAGCGACAGAGCGAGAAAGGTAGCGAGGAGCAAAGAGGGAGAGAGGCCGTTGCTTTCTTGGGCCCGGCGTGCTTATTGCGTGATATTAGCCACGGTGGCTGCCGCCACTGCTGGGATAATCATAATCTCGAAAGGGGGACAAAACACAGGCCCCGAATCGCATAACGCTGAATTTTACGACTTCTGGCATAGAGGAGACGCGACCGGATGCACGCGGCTTTTTATGCTCTTCTAACAGCCCCCCCTGACTTGATATCACGCCCGGAGATGGACGGCTTTTCGAAACATCTCCCCGAGCCGCGTCGTCGGATTCGCTCAGCCGTCATTGAACGAGTACGAAAGTGTCGACGGATGGAACGCCAGCGGCGAAGTCGCGGAATTACCCCGCGAGAGGATGCGCGAAAAATTGCGTTTCGGTCTCCGCGCGCTATCGCGACTCGAGAAAAAGCTTCGTATCATTTCTTCTCCTTCCTTTTTCTTCTTAATATATGCAAACGAGAAAGAGTGGATTAATATTCTCGCGGAGTTGCATAATACCTGTCACAACTTTTTGTCCGGATTTGGTTATTCTTGCGATATGAAACTAGCCGATACTTTCCACCGTTATTCCGGGAATTCGAACTAATTTACGCGTTTGCATAGGCGTACGATCGAGCCGGCGCGCGCTATAAAAGAAACAGAAAGAGAGAACGGGCACCCAGCGGCGTTACATCGCGTTTCGCAATGCCGTATGAAATCAACGGCGAATGAGGCACTGAATGGAAACGAATTGCGCTGACGGTAAGTCAACGCGATTCGAAGCACAGACTGCGTAATAGAAGGGATATTTTTTTCACGGAAGATACTGCGCGAATAGAAGGTTCCGCGACGATTTTTACAGTGGCGTAAGTACGGTCTTGTAATCTCTGGGAAATTGAGATCGTGAGTCACTCACCGTAAGGTCGTTCCGCAACGGGTTCGCACGAGTCTGCAACAGAAAGCATTTCGCATTCGATCAGCAGCCATACTCCGCGGCCATAAGTGGGGCGATTAATTATTCGCGGTGGAAACTAGCCGGCCTTTTGGGTCTACCCGCTGCGCGATCAAGATAAGAGATCGCGTAATATCCGAAGGAGACGATTATTAATTAAGATTTATAAATGACAATGCCATAAATCGGCCGCACCACAAGGTAAGATTTCAAACTGCTATCAGAACGGCCGATAGTCCCGTTAACGTCCTTTTAATTCTATCTTGCGGCGAAGGAGCGCTGTTAGATTTATAAGGGAAGACGACCTTACACGGATGAAAAGAAGTCAGTTTCTGCAACAGAATATAATGTATCTATAATAGATTTCTTATATTATCTACCGTTGACAAACAAAAGTCAAACTAGAACAGATTATTCATTATTATGAAAGGTCTCCAAAGGTTTCCTTATTAACTTCGAAAAATTAGCGACGTGTATGGCCGTGATTGTCGCAACCTCGAATGATTACCGTACAGCGGTGTTTCGATCGAGAGGACTCAGCACACCTCGCAGGAGAGAAACAATGTGTTAAATCACCAGCGCGGGGAGGAAGCCAATTTTGCGATTTTTTCGAACCTCTCTCATCCTCTCAATGACGCAGGTTAGCGTATCGACATGGTCGCTCATCCATGACGATCGCGGCGCGATCGTGATTCATTCCCGATATAATCGACGCAATCTCGACGCAATCGCGCCGCGGTTCCGTCGGCTTTTTTCATCTCCCCCCTTGGTAATTTGCATACGTTCAAAGAAAATTCCCGCGATAATTTATCCGAGCCATCGCGGCTGGTAAAGGAGCCGATCGCCGTAAGTGATTTCTAACCGGTCGCTTGTAATTCGCGCTGTAATGGAGGGCCTTACGCAACGCCTGGGAGATCCTCGCTCGCTAATGTGCCGAGCCGGCTAATAGCGTCGCGTCCTGGGCCCGAAGGCACGCGTCGCGCGCGTACCAGCCGTGCGTAAAAGCGAGGAAGTTTTAAATGGTACCCCGAGTGCCGGCACCTGCTAAAGCCGAGAGATCGGCTCGGCGGGAGCCGGTAAATGTCTCACTCAAGCAGCGCGCACGCTCTCGTACTCTAATGGAAGCCGCTAGGTAGGTCATCGGCTGTCATAAACGCTCTCGCCTGTTTCCTCGACGGCGCGGAGCGTGTTAATAGCCTCATTAGATATCGCGGAGCGCAGTGACGTACCGCGATCGATCAGGGGACTTTGCCCACGCGCCTGTTCGCGTAAATGTCAGGTACCACTGTGCGTTAGTTAGCTACCTAATACAAAGTATCAAGGATTTATCATTCACATGAATTAACATATGATATTTTAATCCAAGTATTGACTGTTGCTATCAATAACTTTTTGCCAAATTTCGGACAATAGATGGATCGATAAAATGACTCATTATTTGAGGTAACCCACGGCATTTCGGATAGATTATATCGGATAGATCGTGCCACATCGATCTGAATGAGACGAAAATCGGACGGGGCGATGTCTGGGAAGTACGCAGAAACTTTCGCAAGCACCTAATATATCAGACATGGATCACGTTTATATACACTCCGCTTGTACCAAATTATTATCTATTTGATTAAATATCCGACTAAATGGGATAAACATGTAACACCATCGAAGAGAAACGCAAGGTGAATGAATAAACCGTGAAATGCGACGACGTATTTGCGTAATTATGTCATAACCGTTCCCTCGTACAGGATACCGGCATATTATCCTTTTTTTCTTTCAATTATGACATCGACTTCTACAGTCATTAGCCTCGACATTAGCGCCAATGGGACACGGTCTTCCCAGGCTGTCAAGCATTCAAGCATTGACCGTATCAAATGTTACTTAAGTTTGTTAATTAACTCCTCAACCCTTGCCGGTGAATCCAGCATAACATGTAACTGCTCCAACAGCACTATCATTATTCTGCAGATATGTCGCTTATTCGTGTACACGTTTTATATACAATCTCGCGCATGATAGGCATAAAAATTTTTATGTCTTTGTAATAATGCGGAGAAACTACCTTTGGAAACTGCCCGAGGAAGATTCTGTCTCCCTCTCTCTTCCTCTCGCAACTTCCCGAGATGTAAAATACTTACTCCCGCGCTGACTGAAACGAAATATAAAATCGAGAGAACTCGTCGGCTGAAACCGGACAGAAGATATTCACGCGTCGAGTTAATCAGACTGTTATTATTCTCGCGCTAACAGACGTCCTTGACAATTACGACACAATATATCATTTCACACGCGAATGTACCGCGCGTTCGTCGAAAAAAAAAAGGCGCGCTCGGTTCGTTTGCATCGCGATCCCGCGCGTTTCTCATCCAGATAAGCGAGGAGGATTTCACCGGTAAACATTTCGCGACGATCTTCCAGGAATCCCAAAGACTACAACGACAACGACGACATTAGAGCCGAGCGATGTTACGGCGCACTGAATGAATTGAGTTTCATTAGTTTCCACATTGACGGTTGCGATCGAAAGCGCAGATTACGTTCGACAGGACGAAACGTCCTGCATCTGAAATTTCCCAGTAGGTTCGCGCGGGTGAAAAATAAAAAGGATACTCTCGCGCCCGTCCGTTTATCCGTCGCTAATCGGCGACCACGACGTCGTATTCTAATATTTCCCGTGAAGCGTAGCGCGCCATCACGAATTCTGATTGAGCCGGGGGCCCGAAGGTGCCAACGGGGTCGGCAGCGATGGCCGATAAATATTAAACGACTTTCCACCTGTCGCGTCGTCATCCTCACGGCGGGGAGGTAGGAGGAGAGCAACTTCCGAGAGGGAGATGACTGAATGTTAATTAGCGAGGCGTGACAAGTGTTAAGTAATCCATCCATCTACCTACGTGCCGAGAGGGAGGAGCCTGCCTAACGCTCGGTAATTAACGCGACACGCACTCGCCGCGCGACCACGCACCATCGGCGGCGCACGGCCCGTTCTTGCGAGCGCGCGCGTAATTAACCGGCGATTTAACAGGTGGGAGAGAGGAGAAGAAACGTTTACAATGAATCCTCTTTTGTTTTTCGTTTCCTTCAGTTAATACGAAGTATGAAATGTGCATAGAAAAAAAGATTCGAGTAAATAATGGCTCTAATATTTTTACCTGGATCAAATAATGGATCTTTAATCCAAGTGAACATTTGCTAAGAAGAGTAATTATTTATTTGAATCTTTTTTCTCTGTAAAATTATTTCTTTTCCAACGAAGAAATCTAGCGGTTTTAGAGTTGATTTTAATTATCTCAGCTTCGGTATCAATCTTCCACTAATTTCACATGTGTGTAGATCATGTTTCGGTCGACATGTTGTTGAAATTCGAAAAGAGAAAATAAATTTGCGGACCGACTATCCTGGTGTGAACGGGAATGAGATTGTCTAATTAAAATATGGAAGAGACCACGTTAAAGCAAGCATTTAATGCACGGTAAACACCGATGTAAGGAATGGAGCGACTCTGATTTATACGAGGAGCCTAACGAATGGTCCGATTAAATTTGCAGCACGTTGTGCGCGAGATACACTCTCGCTCGCATATAAACGTCGGCTCGCAAATGAAACCGGTCGGCGTGACGCGTCGACTCGTATTAATTAGAATGCCCGATCCGATGCTCGGCGCAGATAAACGTTACCGGCGCAACGTTACAATGTTACCAAACAATGCCGCCGTTGGTACCGCGCGCGTCGCACACGATGTCTGCGTTAAGGGAACATTTACATCTCGGACGGGTCGAGGCCCGGGCCGAATCGCCGAATCATAGTCGTGAGCGCCGATCCGCGCTTGTCGATTAGATGTATCAGTGTAATTAACAACAAACAATGGCCGCGCGGCCACGATATCGCGTATTAATCGATTACCCTCGGCCCTGGAGATATACGCCGAAGCCGGCTGTTAATCATCACCGCGGGTGCGTTTGTACCACCGACTCTTTTTTCCCCTTCCTGCCCTCGCCGTGAGTGTGTACGTCTGTACGTAGCCCTGAGGACTTCTCTTCCGCTAACTACCATCGTAACACGTCATTCGCCTGCCCGCACACCGAAATACCAGAAACAATGTAACGATCTCGTTTGCCCGCCGCGAATTCCGCGTCTCATGGCGCGCACCCATCTCTATCGATTAACCGATTACTTGCACTATTCGACGGATGGCGAGACAAGACGGGTCTCGAAAACGCGCCGTTCACGTGGCCGCTAACTCTCGCAAAACGTCGGATTATTTTTCTATTGAAAATTCATGTTTTTTTTAGAGGGATGTCGTGCCTGGCCTACTACTGGCCTCTTTTCGCAAATTTTACGTCATATTGCCTGTACAGAATTACAAATACTTTTGCACGGTGAAAGTACGCGCGAAAGTTAATTGAAGCATTGCTCAATATGTACTGAGAGAAATTATAGTTATTTTTCGTTTCAACTATACTTTTCTTATTTAATCACAGAGATAGCAACATACATGTAAGCTTATTGATGTATAGTAATATAATAGCAGTTATATTAATATTATAGTATATATTTACTAGAAAAAAGGTTCTCCTTACTAATTCTTTCGTTATGATGATTATAGTTACAAGTATGAAATATTTTTTCTCTGAATATTCTCTGCAACAAACGGGATTTAGCTCGTTGACATTATAAGGAAAACATTGTAAATGCATGAGATAATATAGTGTGTGATAAAGTGCGACTGGTTACTGTCGTGGCCGCTTTCCGCTGCATACCGTGACGAACCCACTCTTCCCGCGTACTTCCACTCTCGTCACAGGCCGTGTGAGCCTAAATTCGGTACCGTTAAAAGAGCGCAAGAATACGTTGTCGATACTTCTCGCATGAGGTATCGATCATCGCACGCTTGCGTGTGTTGCTTCGGGACGTTCACGCGGCCGGGAGAGCACCGAGAAGAGGATTGTTTCGCGGTGCCCCTCAGCAGTGCGCGCTAGAGATCGGAATCATTA